CAAAGGACTCGTTCCTGGTAAGTTATTTTTCGGAAATGATGGAATCATTTTATCATCCATTATATAACAACGTTTCACGAGGGTTTATTATATATTATATATTATTATATTATTATACGAAAGTTTCCTCTCCTTCCTTTTTTTTTTCTTTCTTTTTAATTTCTAATTTCGCGTGTACTTCTCTTCACCGCAGGCAGAGCTTACAATATTTCGGTTCAAACGGTGTCGGAGGACGAGACTTCGACCCCGACCACGGCTCAGTATCGAACGGTGCCGTTGCGACCCCTCAACGTCACCTTCGACAAGCCCTCGATAACGTCCACTTCGTTCCGCGTCTTCTGGAATCCGCCCGAGGGAACGTCCGAATTCGACAAGTATCAGATATCATTGGGGGGCAACAAAAGGCTCGCCCCCGTCACGAGGAACAGGGACGACGAGAGCAAGTGGGAGTTCAAGGACCTGGAGCCGGGGAAAACTTATCAGGTCGTGGTGAAGACCGTCTCGGGCAAGGTTACCAGTTGGCCGGCTAACGGGGACGTTACTTTGAGTGAGTTGCTCTCTCAAAAATTAATGTTTATATATATATATATGTTGACTGAGCAGTGAAAAGAATAAAAATGAAAATGTACGGGTTTAGCTGAATGAATATATTTAATTATCTGTTTACAAAACATTTGAAGTACATGTTGGCAACATTCAATAATAAAATTACATATAAAATTTCAGTGAACTTTAAATTCTAAAAATATATTAGTATTTTATTTAAACTGTATACTTTTATCTAATTTTATAATATTATTATTAATTAATGTATAATATTAATTATTACGTATATATAATTATAATTATATATTATTGTAATCGATTCAGCTTCTTCTTCGATAAATTAATATTAACTCGTTTCGTTCGATGATATGTTCAATAAAAATGGTGTATGATTTTTCATTCGATGAATTTATTTATCGAACTGGTGACGTGATAACGTTCGTAAAATTTTTCTACGATAATTTTAGAACCGTTGCCGGTGCGCGATCTTAGCGCGGTGATCGACGAGAAAACAGGGATGGTGGAAGTTTCCTGGCACCCGGAGAACTCGAGTACCCAGGACAGTTACAAGCTTCAGTATCACGAAGTGGAAACTACGATCGGCGGTGATAGCAACATGTTGACAACTGATAAGACCAAGGTGGGAGTGTTTCTTTTATTTTAACAAATGCAAATCGATCGAAATTCAGGATTTATCACGTTGGAGGAATGCGAAGAGGATTTATGTTGTGAAGCGAAAGTGTTACAAAGGATATAATTATTATTTTTACGTTTGTTTAAACTTGAGTGCAAAAATTTATTTGATTATTACTTTCTACAATTTTTTAGAAACTTTAAAATTTATAACGTGATTCACAATTTATTTGCTTATGCAATATATATTAATTTTAATTAAGAATAATGATAAACGAGTCTTATAACTCCTCGTAATTAATTTGGAACTTATGCAGAATCGATTTTCTGTTTAATATTCGTTTAATGACATCTTTTGCAATTTTCAGGTCACGTTGGAAGCTTTACTGCCAGGCAGGAATTACTCGATAATCGTGCAGGCGATTAGCAACAAGGTGGAATCGAACGAGACCGTGCTGTACCAAGTGACACGGCCCTCGAGCCCGATAATCGAAGATCTGAAGCCGACCGAGATGGGGCTGAACATCTCGTGGAAGAGCGACGTTAACTCGAGGCAAGAGAAATTCGAGGTGACGCACAACAGGAACGACACCGGGGAGAGCGCGACCACCTTAACCACGGAATCCCACATAGTTCTCGAGGACCTCTACCCCGGGGCGGCTTACGAGGTCAAAGTTTTCGCCATTAGCCACGGGCTCAGGAGCGAACCTCACGATTATTTTCAAGCTGTTCGTGAGTGGATCTCTTTAAATCTTCGAACGAGAACGTGGATAATGAAGTAGATTTGGAAGAAGTTCACCGATGGAAACGAGTCTATGATCTCGAAAGGAAACGCCTATTTTTCTTTCTAACTCGATACGTCTCTGTGTATCAAAAAGATCCGTAATTAAATCTCGATGAATTGATATAGGCCAGAATATTCTATCGATTCGAAATTTTCTTTTATCTCTCACGATTCGTAACGATAGTTTAATTTGTATAAACGTGTTCGAGGATAGTAATAAGTTAGATATAAATTATCCTAACGTGACTTGAAAAATGAAAATAATTTTTACGATCTTGAATATTCAAATTATAGCTTTTTCATTGTTATGCAACGTCAACGAAGCGTCTGAAGTGGAGATCCTAGCAAAGGACCCTTCTTATGCTTCTTTTCAACGGTGAACAATAGATATTTATATGTATATATTGGGCATAGAATTCAGAGTGTTCTAAAATTTGTTTATTTCTCGTAATATGTTAATTATGATTTGTGAACGATAATTTATAAACTTTGTATTCGAGCTAATGTTAGCTAAGATGATAATAAGCTAGACATACTATAGATTATTCTTGACGTAACTTGATAAACGAAAATAATTTTTACGATCTTGAATATTCAAATTATAGCTCTTCCATTGTTATGCAACGTCAACGAAGCGTCTGAAGTGGAGATCCTAGCAAAGGACCCTTCTTACGTTTCTTTTCAACGGTGAACAATAGATATTTATATCTATACATTAAGCATAGAATTCAAAGTGTTCTAAAATTTGTTTATTTCTCGTAATATGTTAATTATGATTTGTGAACGATAATTTATAAACTTTGTAGGGGAGCTAATGTTAGCTAAGATGATAATAAGCTAGACATACTATAGATTATTCTTGACGCAACTTGATAAACGAAAATAATTTTTACGATCTTGAATATTCAAATTATAGCTCTTCCATTGTTATGCAACGTCAACGAAGCGTCTGAAGTGGAGATCCTAGCAAAGGACCCTTCTTACGTTTCTTTTCAACGGTGAACAATAGATATTTATATCTATACATTAAGCATAGAATTCAAAGTGTTCTAAAATTTGTTTATTTCTCGTAATATGTTAATTATGATTTGTGAACGATAATTTATAAACTTTGTATTCGAGTAGCTAAAATAATAACGAGCTAGACACTATTATAGATTAACCTTGACGTGACTTGATAAACGAAAATAATTTTTACGATTTTGAATATTCGAATTGCAACTTTTCCACTACTATATAATACATATGCCGTGAGGATTGCCACCAAAGCGTCTGAGACGAGAATAGGCGCTCCTACTTCTTTCCATCGGTGAACGAGTTATGCTTTACACGTTTTGCATCGTTTATAACGTTTGTCCGAAATAAAAACAGTGCCCCATCCGCCAAAGAATTTAACCATCGAGAAAGTGACGACTGGGAACACTGTGGTGGTCCGTTGGGAGGCGCCTACGGATTCCTTGTATTCCGAGTTTTCGATACGATATCGGACAGAGGACGACCCTAGATGGGTGAAGTTGCCCAGTGTTCGCGAGACGGAGGCCGAGGTGGCGGATATGACGCCGGGGGAGAAGTACACGATCCAAGTGAACACCGTCAGTTACGGGGTGGAAAGTCTCTACCCCCTTCAAGTGAATCACACAGTTCGTAAGTGATAAATAAATATAAATAATCCGTTGCTCTCATATTTTCCATTCTATAAATTCACCACGCGAATCTGGAAAATTGTTTTTCCAGGATCGAACCCGGTGCTCAACATCACCCCTATCGTGGACTCGACGAACGTGACCCTGGAATGGCCCAGGCCCGAGGGTAGGATCGAAACGTACGTGATAAGATGGTGGCCAGTGGACAATCCCGAGGACGTGCGCACGAAAAATGTGACGGAGAGCAACGACGTGGCGGGTGGCCTCTACGAAGAGAGCTCGGTGCAAAGGGTGTTGGTCAGCGACCTGATGCCCGGTGTTCAATACTCCTTCGTTATATGCACCATCTCCTATAACTTGGTCAGTGAGATCACCAATCTGACTACGAGGACAAGTGAGTACACGATTTTAGAAACGACAAGTGTATCGTGGGTGCACTTTACACTTATCTCCCGACTAATACGTTTCTCTTTTTGGATGGATTTGTCCGGCTGTTATTTCGTCGACCAACTCGCTTTCATCACGAGTACTAACACATTGTATAATATTTGAAAACGATAACCACGACTCGATACTGGTCGAGTATACTACCTCATTCTACTAATTTTGCGTGTGCGTTGCGTGACACGACCACACTCCCCCATATTTTGTGTCATAATCTTGTGAATCTTTCGCTCCGATAATAATTTTGTTATTCATTAACGTATTCGTTATCGTAATCAACTGAACTAAAAAAATAAAAAAAAAAAAGGCTTGTGTAATGCAAACGTAATAAAATGAAAAAAGTCGATCTGAATAAAAGAGAAACGTGATAATAAAGATTGAAAGGAAAGCGGGAGGCGAGTGGAGGAAACGCGTGAAACGAGAGGGGAAAAAGAAAAAGAAAGGAAAAAGACAAAAAAAAAAATGGCGAGTCCAGGAAAAAAAAAACACCGAATTCTCTCGAATTCAGTGCCGCTGATCCAATCGGAAGTGGTTGTGGTGGTCGATCAGGATCAGCCTGACTCGTTGACCTTGAGATACACACGGACCCCGGTTCAATCCTCCAAGTTCGATCTGTATCGGTTCCGGATCAGCGACTCGAGGAACACGACGAAACAGAAGATGGTGGACGACGTGGACACCAAAGTGACCTTCACCGGCCTCACGCCCGGTAAACTGTACAACGTTACCGTATGGACCGTCAGCGATAACGTGGAGAGCAGGCCACTGCTCAGGCAGGATCGACTTTGTGAGTACTCAACTTTCAACGTTCAGTGAGGGGACAATGCGCCACTCCGCGGTTAATCTCTCCTTTCGACTCATAAGCAAGCGAATTAAGAAAAAAAAAAAAAAAAAAA